CCCCGAAATATTACAGAACTATCAGAGTCGACAATGGCTCAGTGAACGAGCAATACTTGCGGCCACAAACAGTGACGTACAAGGCATTAACATCAAAATTCAAAACGAGATACCGGGCGAAGCAACAACATACAAATCGATCGACACGGTAATGAATGAAGAAGAGATTGTGAATTATCCCACCGAATTCCTCAACTCGCTTGATTTGCCAGGAGTACCACCGCATGATTTGACCTTGAAATTGGGAGTACCCATCATTCTACTCCGGAACATAAATCCACCGCGGTTGTGTAATGGAACACGACTCTCGGTGCAAAGTTTGATGAAGAACGTTATCCGAGCAATGATTATATGCGGAAAATTCGAAGGGGAAATTGTTTACCTGCCGCGTATACCCATTATACCGACCGACATGCCGTTCGAATTCAAACGCTTGCAATTCCCTGTACGGCTCGCTTTTGCGATGACAATCAACAAAGCACAAGGTCAATCCCTTAAAGTATGCGGTCTAAATTTGAAGAATCCATGCTTTTCGCACGGGCAACTATACGTAGCATGTTCACGCGTCGGGAGCCCATCGAATTTATACGTGTACGCACCAGAAAATGCGACGAAAAACATAGTTTATCCCCAGGTCCTCGAATAATCTGATGACAAAAGGAGTGACATAGGGAAAACAAGAACACGGCTGATGGATCAAATATGGGCTCATCAAACGACATCGAAAATAATCTGAACCGCTAACGAAGCTTAAATTATGATCAAAATAGCCAAAAATTGAGAACAAAATGAAAACCAGATAATGAGAACAAACTCGACGAAAACATGCAGCAAAGAAACCATACAAAAATCATGGCGTTTACAGAACGGAGCACGCGTGAAGCGACAGAGTACGTTCATTCAGCGCTATCGTAAAGCGACGGGAGAAAGACGTTCCGCGCAACAGTGCAGAGAAGTTGGAAGCACTGTGTCGTTGTGCAGTTGTCAACGCTCTCCATTCAGCGCTATCGTAAAGCGACGGGAGAAAGACGTTCCGCGCAACAGTGCAGAGAAGTTGGAAGCACTGTGTCGTTGTGCAGTTGTCAACGCTCTCCATTCACATGGCGCGCGCGGCGCATGTGGCGCGCATGAAAAACCGTTGGTTGTGAGGAATACCGAATTCGAAAGTGAAATAGTTGGACTTAGCGAACATGGGTACCGTTATCCGAACGGAAATACGCAGTAAGGTCCGTGAACAAACACTACGACCACGTGAAAAAAGTTCCGTCAGTGAAACGGCCAAAAACCCCGGTAGACAAACGAAAACGTCGGAATCGTTCGGTGAAGATCCGAATAGCGTCTTCGAAAATGACCGACGAGGATTTATTCGCCACGATGTTTCAAAACGAAACTCCCCACGAGAATGGTGAATCGACGGGACAAAGTCCAGCATCAAGCCTCCTCGATGAACCCGTGAGCATGCCCAAGGAACTCAATACCCCATCGCAATCCAAAGCGGCGAGGAAACGTGGTAAGAATGATTCAAAGTCCACAGAAGACTCAATCCTAAAAACTTGAATTGGAATAATCGGAACCAAGCTTTCCCATACGCGCATTGAACGAGATCTGTTTGTCTTTAGAATCGGAAAACAAAGCAGCGTCCACGGCGAAAAAAGCCAAACTTCTGAAGAATCTCGACATCACGAAACTGGGGGGTATAGTCCACGGCCGCGTCGTTTCAAAATCTAACATGAAGAATTGGAAGAAGAATAACCAAGAAGGGAAGCTCTTCTCCTTTGTTATCGAAGACTCATCCGGAAGTATACAAGTTGTGACCTCGGGAGACCGCTGTGATGCCTTACACGAGGAAATAACAGTCGGTGACTGCTACCGGCTGAACGCGTTCACCTTACATGAAAGCAACCCGCTTTACAACAAAACTAAACATCCTCTGGAAATCCACATAACGAAGGTAATACAAGAAACAACATGATCAAACATATATATCACAAAGAAAACCGCAACATATAGATGAAAAAAGTGTAGGGATCATTGAACCCCTGTTCATAAAAAATTATCACCTTACAGCTGAGTCAAGTGAAGAAGATTCAAGGAAAGAATTTGCCAAGGAGCAAGATCAACAACATCACGATCGCAGAGATTATGAACACGGAGTTGAATACCTTAATCGACATAATTGGAATAGTTTACGAGGTCGGACACCCGCAGAACTTATCATGCCGTGATGGAGTGATGCGCATCAAGCAAAATATACGACTTGTAGACAACACACTACGCGTGGTAAACCTCGGAGTGTGGAACAACGCACAAAACTTCGCGGGAACTGAGGGAAAATGCGTTGCCATAACCAATCTTCTGGTTCGCGAATACGCGGGAAAAAAAGTACTGACAACAACAGACAGTACGATCCTCAAGAGCGAACCGAATGACCCAGACCTGAAGACTCTCGAAGCATGGTTTACGCGTGATGGCCAATATCAGGAATTCCAGGAACTCGCGATCGCCAAACCGTCGCAAGCAACGACAAGTAGCGTCCCGGATGAAACAAATCACCCGTAAAATGGTATAAAAACGTTCCTCAGCTGTAAAACCAAACACATTCATAATGAAGGGGTAAACCGAGACGGTAAGCCCACGAAACAATGCTAGAGCCAAGACATTACGATGAAGGCAAACCGACCGAAATTCTACCAACCCAATGAAAAAAAGATCTACAACGAAAGAAGGGAACGAAAACAGACGCTGTACGTAATAACCCAGACGACAGCGTTATGAGAACAAACGGTCGATGAAAATTACAAAATAAACGTTGAGATGCAAGAACATCAATAAACGTGAAACAGAGCCATTATTTTACGGATAAATAAGGAAAAAATTAAGACACCGATAAGAAGCATAAAACCCACGACATGAACGCAACCAAAAACAGGAATTCAAAAGGCTCATTGACACAGAGTATCGAAACGCCAGCGCCGCTTCAGACCCACACACAATATGATATAAGCAACAAATCGCAGTTCAAAATCAAATATCTCAAACACATTATATCTTTGTTATTCGACCACAATTCAGAGGGTTTCAAGCCTACATCATAAGGGCTTTGAGCCGCAGCGAAGCGCGGCAGGGTACGCTAGTTTGCTTGAATAAAAATGTCAATTCAGACAGACGGTTGTTGAGAGGCTCACTGAACGCTGTTGCTGGTTGCTCCAAAGAATAGGTCCGCCGGACAGCGTGGCGATGGAACCACTGACCGAGCGGCGAGTCTCCTTACAGGCGGCGTAGTCGGAGTCCGAGTAGAAGCGGAGACTTTCTCCTAGCGGGGTCTCGGTATAAGAATAGTAGACCAGAGACAACGACGCCGTATTCTGCAAGTAGCGCAAAACTTTTAGGCTTGCCTGCCAATGTTCTTCTGTGTGTTTGTCAAGGAATCTTGCGAGAAATCCGACAGTGAACGCAATATCAGGCCTTGAGCTGATTGCGACCCACAGAAGACCTCCAACGATCTCGCGATAAGGACGATCTTTAGATGGAGTCCCCTTTGCTGGTTCTATATTATAGATACCGCTATCAGAGGGAATTGAATGAGGGCGGCAATCTATCTATATATATAAAAACGTATGTCTGTCTGTCTGTTTGTCTGTCTGGTGTCACCTATAGACTCGAAAACGGCTGAACCGATCGTCGTGAAAATTTAGGAGCGTGTTCTGGGCGATCCAGCGGTGGTTATAGGGGGGTCAGTTCTCCGATGCGATGAGTCCTTCTACCTTAAAAAAATTATTTGAGTGCTCCACCCACGAAAATCCGAAAACTCGGAAAAAAATTGAAAAATCGCTAATTCGCAAAATTCACAAACGCCTGAACCGATCGCCGTGAAAATTCAGGGGTGGGTTCTCGGGAGTTGTAGAAAAGCGATGAGGGGGTCGTCGTGCCCGTATGATGAGGATGAGCTCTTTTTCCCTTGGAAATTGAGTACCGGGTCCCTCACCGGAAATCGTTCGGCGGGAGTTTCCAGAGTTCTCCAAAATTTTCGTGATTCCTTCACATAATCTAT